TCAGATAAACTTGATTGTAAATTTCGAATTCTTCTTGTACCAGATATTTTCTGGTCAGATTTTCCTCACCAACACAAACATTTTGTTTTTCGACAGGCCTTTCGCTAATCAAATTAACATAATCTACTGACATAATCTCCTAACATATTCTTTTGATGATTATGGACAATTGGTCAGTTTTTAATCTGACATTCCTTAGGAATTGAAAATAACAATCGAAATGTAACGATATGAATCCTGGCATGACATCCATGAAGAGTGGATCCAAAACAAGCATTTTTTCCACACCAGAACAACAGCATTCTACTCAAAGCTAAATTGGCGTCTTCAGGAGACGAAGTTAACTAATTCTCAAATCTAAAGTGGGTCTTTGTTTATATCTAGCAGGTTACCCTGCAGGTAGTTTTAGGTGGGATCCGGATACTGTGGAAAAATTTTAATGAGGTCCAGAAAAAACAACTGATAATAATTAAGTGCTACCTATCTATTATTTTAGTTTCACATCAAATTCTGAATCATAAAACAAGGACTAAAATTGATGTGAGAGCCAGTCTTGAGCCAGTTTCTAATAGTTTGGTTCTCGAGAGAAACAAGCAAATTCAAAGGGTGTCTTCTAGGTGGGCGTCCGTTAATCGCTAACGATTTTTATTTTTCAAAAAATCCATCTTTGAGAAAGATGTTTCACATAAGTTTGTCGAGCCAAACATAGTGTTTCTTCCAGTTTTCATATTTTTCTGGGACATGTTTGGTCCAAAATTATTCAGTGGATATACATTTGCAAAGACACATCTTCTTGCAAATCAATTATCTCTATTTGAAATGATGACTTTGAAAATTCATACAACTTGACAGCCACATCTCCCCATTATGCCGCAACATCGACTTCAAATGGCGATTTAAGAAACGGAGGTAGCTTGCCCATTTCTGCAATGTTTTGGAATCTTGTAGCAAATTCGTTTCTAAGATCGGCCAGAAATTTTACAAACACCGCAATGTTTTCTTCAGTTTTTTTTAATTCAAGAATTGTCGGAAAATGGGTATACTCTCAGAACTCATTAATACAATTTATTGTACGGTTTTCACTATGAAGGGTTTCACAAAAACCGCGACACGCGTTTCGCCATACTAAAGCTTTCTCAGGCGTTAATTAACGCTTGAGTAAATGCAATTCTTGGAATCGTAGTCCACGATTGGTGGTCTGGTTTTGGTGAGACTACTACGGATAGTGTTCCCAGATCCCAAGCAGGTTCTGATGTTATAATTGGACCCAACTCTTCTTATCCCTTTCAAGTCCAAGTATAACATCAGAACTTGCTTCAAATCTGGGAACACTATCCCTTGGACTTGAAAAGGATAAGAAGAATTGGGTTCAAGTATAACATCAGAACCTGGTTCAGCTCTGGAAACCAGGCCACCAAACGCAGACTGCGATTCCAAGAATTGCATTTACCGAATACCCTACGAGTGCGGAGAATCCTACATCGTTGAAACTAAAAGGCCATTGAAAGTTCGCATTGCCGAGCACAAGTAATACACAGCGAGGAGAAACCAGCAAATCAGGAATAGCAAAGCATATTAGGACTCACCAACATAACATCAAGTGGTCTCAAGCTGAAATCATCCACAAGGAGAAGAAAATTTAAAGAAGCCGCATATATGTTGTCCAACAACGTATTTTGCCAAGCTAGCGTAGAGATACGTAACACATGGAAACCTATAATCAAGCGGAAAACGGCCAACTCCCGTCAAACGGTTCATTATCGAAGTTTGGATAGCTAGTATGTACCTTCTGATCAACAGAAAATAAAAAATGAGTCTTGAAAACAAAATTACTGTTTACAACACGATGTTCAAGCCTGTCATCATGTATGCTTCAGGCGTCTGGGGACAAGCGGCTCCGTCTAACATCTCCATCCTGGAGAGATCACAAAACAAGTTGATACGGATGGTTGTGAATGCTCCGTAGTTCGTGCGAAATGAAGCCATTCGCAGAGATTTGCAGCTGCCTTCCATTCTGCAGTCTATTCAGTCGAGGAATCAGCGAGTTTTTGACAGTGCGGAAACTCACGAAAATCCGTTAGTTAGGGAAGCTATAGATTATGCTGTAGACGACCCCTCCCGATGTAGAAGGCTTCGAAACTTTGTCGATTGAGGCCCTCATGTCCCCCGTTGAGGGATGAACAAATTTTTCATCCATCCCACCCAGCCATGAAGGGGTACCCCGTGAAGGGCGTTACTGATGTCTCCGGACTTTCATACCGCCAATATCTCTTTAGTCATGAATCCATTCGTCTTTCTGGCGAAAATCAGCTACAAGAGTAAGGGAGCTAGGCTCCAACCTGACTGAACTGAAGACGCTTGGTTGGAATAAGTCCAGTCATCACCTGAAGACGATTGTGGATACCAATAATCGAAACTTCGTGAAGTAAATTGGTTTGAAATCTTTCAGTTTTCGTTTCTGGTTCAATTTTCAATTGTTGCTTCTATTTTATTTCATTGTAATTTCAGTTTTTTTGCTCAATATAATTGTTATTTTTTTAGCTAATCTTTTTAATTTTATTGACTCATGGATTTCAAATCATTTCATATCATAATCAGACAATGAAGTGAATGAATAAATTCTTGTCTTGCAATATCTTTTCCAAATATATCCAGCTTGCGACAAAAAGCAGACACGCTTTGTATCAAACCACATATTTATTTTATATTTTCATGTAACTCTTCAGTTTCAAAATATTATTCCAATTAATGAAGGTATAGTATACCTTATCTACGTATCAATTTATACTTGGTATATATACAACACATTACAATATTTGGCGGTCCGAGGTCCGTCTGTTGCTGACCGTTGGGTTACACTAACACTTCCACTTTCCGATACATATTAATGATTTTGGGTTGAAATTTCCAAGACATTTTCTCGTGGATGTTCTTGCGAATTTAGAGAGAGTGGTTAATGAAAATGTGAACCATTGGTTGTTTGAAATTGAGTTTTGTCACTGTTCATAGCTCTCATGCCACACTTTATTTCCAGACTTTCGAAAGCATTCAAAAATCCAGTGTCATGTATCTATTCCAACAATTTTAGACAGTTTCAAGGCAGTGCCAATTACATATGCAGGATATTTTCTGTGAAGATACCTGCACTGACGCTTGTCGGATATAATCCAACGCCCTTCGTGGTATTAGCCAGAGGAATAGTTGTTTTATGGTAGGCGTCAGTCCATTCAACCTACTGTGTGTGTATATCCGAGACTGGCTTGAACGTTTAAAGTTCATTTCTTTAGATTTGTTTACTGCCAGTCTTCAAGCATAGCCCACTGACTAATAAGAAAGATTTTCTTCCTTATTCAGAGGAATCGGGAAAATTACGGATATGCAGTTGGTTAGTATCTCGTCCACTAGATGGAGTGACATTTTGTTGTTCGCTCCAACTTAGGAAGAGGAATGAAATACTCTGAAAGAATTCCGATTTTCAATTATGGAATATCATTGACTTTATGTCGATGATGGCTACTATTTTGCACTGACGAGTGGCTAATGAGCCCGAAACCGATCTGCAAGTGTGCCCGTTCCAAAATTGAAGGTCGACTCTTTCAGTTGGATTGCCAATTGCATATGCAGGAAATTTTCTGTGAAGATTCCTGCATTGACGCCTGTCGGATATAATCTAACTTCCTTCGTGGTATTAGCCAGGGGAGTAGTTGTTATCTGATAGGCGTCAGTCCATTCAACCTACTGTGTAAGTATATCCGAGATTGGCTTGAACGTTTGAGGTTCATTTCTTTAGATCGTTAATGCTGTTGGAAAGTTAAAGTGTGTTGAAAATAAAAAAATACCCATTTCAGAAATGAAACTCAGTTTACTTCGCCTGAAGACGCCAATTTGGTTGGTGAAACGGAGCCGAGTGTTGGAGTTCTTGGGAGCAGTGCGTTTTTGGGATCTATTCTGTGCCAAAGGTTCCAATTTCATCTTTTATTTTAAAGGGTGGAATTGAACATTTTCAGACCCTAAAAGATACATCCATTGTCAAAATATTTATGAATGATTGTCGTAAGATGATAACTTGGTAAATAAAATGATATTGTTTGAAAGCTCCAGGAAGTTTTTCAAATGTTGTGATAATGATCTCCCGTCAGATTATAAATATAACAAATGGATCTCTGCCTAACTTCCTTCATAATACGCATAGTGGGTGTGGGTAACAGGAGAGGGACGTCAAAACAAGTAACGAATATAGACTCTGTTTATCTTTATGAGATGTGTAATATCCATATTTTTAGTTGAATTCTGCCTACTCAATTCGGGAACATGATTGTGAAAAGATAAAAATGAAACGTATGAAACTGATAAGAGTGAATTCGCGTCATCGTAAAAATAACAAAAATAATGACAGGATGGATCCAAATTCTTGGAACAATAAAGGTGAGTTCTACGTTCTGTTCATTTAGCTTCACTAGTAAAATACTTATTGTAAAAATAATGAACAAATGAAAAAAAATCCTTTTGGTGTTACACAAACTTGCCTACAATTCATAAAGTTACACATACAGAGTGTTGAGTTATTGTGTGAATTAATTAAAAATTCAGTTCTTATGTAAAATGCATAGCAATCGACAAAACACCCATTTTACTACCGATAAGAGACACATTTTGCTAGTGATTTATATTCAACTAGCAGACCCGGCCACGCGTTGCTGTGGCTGCGGTTTTTCTTATATTACATTGAAGTAGACTTATTAAGAGGAGAACATCAGTCACGGGGACCACCATGCTTTTTTACATAGATGCCATTCTTAAAAAAATATGGCGACATCCATGACAGATTTTCTACGATCGTAACCCCTTAGTACAATGAAATTATTATTTACGAACGAAGACGGAAACGTTGAAGCTGGTATAAAAATCCACTGGATTGGGATTTGAAGGGGAAGGACTTTGAACACGATTGATTAAGATTTTCGTACAGTTGATATTAAGCGAAAATCAATACAAAAGAATCAAGTTCAAAATTAATTATCATTTCTATTCAATTTTGTAACAAATGAGTAGATTGCAAAGTTGTTAGTAAATAACATGTGACACTTAAACTTATGAATGAGGTAGGCATGTCAGATAGTCTTACATTTTTAAAAATAACATTCATTATTTTGAATTATAAATACTTCTAATTTCAATTTGATTTAGCACTAATCGGTGTACAATATTTTTGGTTAATCTGTCTTTAGCTAACACAAATAGATTCGACGGTTTCCCTACAAGTGAATATGCAACATATAGTTGCCCATGAGAAAAACATCGACTTTCCAAATCTAAACCACAAATGAACATTGTTTGGCCTTGGGACATGGCAAAAGCTAAACGAATTGGAAACTGTAGCCTTCTAAAGGGTGTGGTAGAATCTGACGGTATCATTGAAATACTTGGCAACAGGACCACTTTTCCTCTAAACTTCCCAATTAAATGGTTGCTTCAAGAATATTTCCGGTGATTATAGCACATTCAAATGAGAAGTGCAAAATAATTTTTAATAGAGGTTAAATAAAAGTAATGAAAAAAAAATTTGTACGATTATTGGGAAAGTTTGGGGAGCTTTGTATCATTTTCTCATAGATATATTAATTAACTTTTTTGACTATGTGATAATACTCACATGTATATATTTTCATTAAGGAGTTTTGAACAATGAAGCACAAATTATGCAGGAATAATTTCACTGTATTTTTTACACTTAATTTACACTTCATTCTAAGTAACACGTGGCTGGCTATGCTAATACCAAAAATTAAAAAGGTAAAAACAATTGGATTTCACGGTATTTCGTTCAGTAGAAAATAATTGAATAGAACTGGTACTTTGATGAGCCATCACGAATGACAGCGTTGTCAAGAACTATTACACTATTTGAATCCAAATTTGGAATCAATGTGTTTTCAAATCATTCCTCAAAAATATTAGCTTCCATGTTCTTGTCATAGTCAACATTGCAGTCTTCAAATTTTTTTCCACATAATTTCAAAGAACTCGGAACCCATCCTTTACTTCCTCCGCAATGCACAATGATTAGTCGTGATCCTTTGTTTGCATGCATGTTAGGCCTACACATTCTCGAACCATCAGTCCACCCTTTCGTAACTGTGTCGTGAAAGTCATACCAAGTTGCGTCCAAATAGAAAATTTTCTATGATTCCTGTCTATATTTAGTTATTTGTTCTAAGTATTTGTTACGCAATTCCACTATTCTTCTGCTTTCCATAACTGCTTGACGTTGTGGCTGGAAGTATTCAAGTTCTTCCTTATGATTTCAATTGTAGGAATCTCATTGCTTCTGTAACAGTCGTATATTGTTTTTTTGATGATTTTATTTGATGAACGTCTGAAGGTTTTGGTAATCCCATATCACATCGCGTCTTGCGTTCATAAGCTTTGTTTTTGATTATTTTACGTACATTTGTTTGAAGGTGGTTGACAATGTTTCGTGGTGTATTTCATCAATTCAGACTTCCATTGTCTGATATAATATAAATTGTTTCGAAACCAAACTTGAGATGTAGATTCTTATATACATTGAAACATACTCTCTGTGTTTCAATATTCAAATGCATCCGAATCTTATTCACTGGTATCTCGTTTTTGCATTGTTCACCAGCGCTATTGGAATCACTACATAGGAAAAAGTCTGCGTTGTTATCACACTCGTAATTACTATTAGTACTTGTTCAAGGCGCCACATTTTAAATAGATAAGAAAAATTTTAAATAATAACTGCACCAGTATCAAATTTCAACACTCAAATCGTGATCAGTTCCTGAAGTGAACTCTCTTCAGTCCACGTGGACTAGTTCGTAGCGGCCTTATTTCTCTGTATTGGTTTTTTTGGCCTTTGAGATGCCGATAACTTTAACTATTCACAATAAAGATTACTTCGACTATACCTAGTAACACCGAAAATATTCTTTTTGTTTTGTAGCCAATTTTCAACACAGAGAAAATTCACAAGCGGAAGAGGTAGACGAGGTACATGTAAATGGATGGCAAGCAATGATAAAAACCTTTTTGTGGTTGTCGTTAGCTGTATTCCTTATAATTGCAGCAGTATTGATATTAGAATATTGCTTTCTGAATAGGCGAACTGAAAATGAAACATCATATGCTACATCTCAGAGTCCACCTTCTTCCATTAAACTTCCAAATCACCAGTTTTTTAAAAAGAGCGACTGGGGTGGTAGACCACCAAAATGGCAATTGAACATTACTGGTCCTGTGAATATGGTCATAATAAAACATCTGAGATCAAGAACCTGCGACTCTTTTCCGAGTTGTAGTAAAGTTGTAGCGACGCAACAAAGTCAAGATGCCAGAGACGGTCATCCAGATATATACTGCAGTTTTCTTATTGGCAGTGATGGAAATATCTATGAAGGAAGAGGATGGGGAGTTCAACCGCAGTACAGAAATGATACGGTCGACATCGTATATATTGGAACTTACGATATTGACAAATTAACGCCAAATATGATAGATGCTGCTAAAACTTTAATCAACGATGGAGTTAGCAGGAAATACTTGACTGAAGACTATATTATCGTCTGTCATAACCAAACTAGTCCAAACACATGGAGCCCAGGCCAAAATATTTTCAAAGAAGTAAAAACTTGGCCACACTATGACTCTGGAATTTTCTTTGAGACGACCTCAGGGAACACGGTGGCTTCAGTGAAGCATTCGGTAAGCCTGACTTCAGAAGTTCAAATAATATGTTAACTCATGTGTTTAACTCACTTGTGTTTTGTGGACTACGTTTTTAACAAGTGTTTGAGGTGACTAATTCTTCTACTAATAAATTTCGATAAAAAATTAAATTGAAGTATGACGAAATATGTATTGAACATAATTTGGAAAAACTGCCTCGGCTTGAATTATTCATTAGATGTAGGTATTGATTTTGCTTTGTATCTCTCAAGATATATGTATAAATACTTATCAATATTGAAGACTGCTTAGTAGTTATATTTTATAGAGTTACCAGTTTTCAGAAAGTATTCGTAAAATCAACAATGTATTGGGATATGCTTAATGCTTATGAATTGGGAGGCAGTAATAATTACTCAATTCAAAGAAATAATATTTATCAATGTATTTATATCTGTGCATTGATATCTGTGAGTTAAAGTTTTTTGATACTTATGAATTGATATGCAGGGATAATAATAATTTTATCCATAAAAATCATACAGAAAGGAATAGAAAATAATATCCTGAGAGTAATATGAATAGAGTACATAAGGATGAGTGCCATCGCACTCGTTTCCTAAGTGGAATAGTAATTAACAGTTATATTCGAACAATTTTGTAAAGTTATTCCTGGTAGGTCGTTTTGTTTCAATATGTTTTCAGTAATTGAAATATTAGCTGCGGTCGAAGTTGAAGTTGATGGGGAAACGTACTGAGCTTCCACAGCATTGTTGTGTTCAGGTTCTAATGGTGCTGGAGGCTGAATGGATTCTACTATATACTTTTTGAAATTTTTATTTTGTTAGCTATGTAGTTGTCGATGAAGGATTCTGCGACATTGCTGGATTTCCAACCCTCACGGCGTTTTGAAGTTAAAAGATTTGTCCCTGCATTAACTAAAATAGTCGCAGATGACCTTCGGAAACAGTGGCCAGTATATAATTCAGGGTTCGGTAATTGCAAAAATTTCGCTATTTCTTTCGCCATGGTGTCATATTTATTTATTCAGACAGGCTGTTTCGTGCATTTGTTATTTTTATGATTTAGAAGAAACGTGTTTCATTTGTACACGGTCGAAGCTTCACATATTTTTTGTAAATTTGGTAGAATTCTCCTGTGACTGTTGAATTTCTAGGATCCATGGTTTTAGTATCTTAAAATCTTCCATGTCATCAATTTTTAATTTTGGAAGTTCATCACAACGGCATGCCCCTGTAAGGCCAATAGCTAAAGCAGCTTGAAATCAAAACCAATAACAATAACAATTTAAACATTTCCAATTAATACCTTTATCAGCAAATATTTTCCATTAGGAGTATCTTTTGAAAATTTGTTGAATTTCTTCAGAAGTTAATGTTTTTGACTATTTTGGAGCATATTTTTCAGATTTGTGTTTTAGAAATACACATAGTTTCACGTATTTTGATATATCAACACAGTTTTCAATAATTAAGGTACTTCTCAGCATCGAGTTCTGAGACCATAATGTTGATGATTTCAATCTTCTCGACAACTCTTCAAAATAAACTAACAAGGTATTTTCGGAACAAGAATTTACCTTGGCTTTCATTTTCCACTCCATGAAGGTTCTGTAGCAAATTATTGGTGTATTTTCCAACTCTAAATCTTCGTATTTCATTGTATTCGTTATTTTATAAATCTGAACTGTTTATACTATAACAATCAACAATAAATATATTTTCGTTGAGTGAGTTGACAGCAATAATTATGCAGTGCTTCGGTTTTGTTGTTATGGAAACGCCGACAATGGGCTACTTGGATATTGCACGCGAATCGTCGGCATTGCGTTGTCAACATGGAGAACGTGCCATATCAATCTGACATTTAACAATTCATGACTGACTTGGGTTATCGTGATAACAGTGAGAAATTATTTCTCACTGCGTGAGAAATCTTTCGTTTTAACGTATGAAAGCGATGAGAGAAGTGTCACATTGTATAGCAAACGTATATTATACAACATGTACCTACCATACCTCAAAATATGTGTAGAGTTAACTTGAAAATTCATCATTTTGGTAAATATAAAGAAGATTAAACATATTTAAACAGATTCAATAATACTAAGTTCAATGTTATATATGATGGGAATGAAAACTAATTATACAAATAAATGAATAAGAGATGACTGAAAAAACGTTAGAAAAAAAAACGCAAATGTATATCTGGACCAATAGGAACATAATCTATGTAGATATTAAGAGCGAATGGCGTGTATGTGAACATTTTGGGTGTGAATGTGAATATTATAAAAAATACATAAAATTGTTGAAATACAAAATGACTGGTACACACGCAATTATTTTGTATTTCAATTCCATAGGTAACATAGTTATGCTTCATACATTATTTCAGTAAAATTCGCTCTGTTCACAAACAATATCTGAAAAATTTTGAAGTGCATCATGAGAACGATCGAGAAAATGAAATTTTATATCAATGTTCTTCATACATTGAATCTTGTATGGCTCTTATGAATGCTATCTCTATAAAGAAGAGAAGGTATAGTGAGACTCTGATGGTAAGCGAGTTCAATCTTTATATTCATTGATAGCCTATGTAACTGTAATTTCCTTCCTTGGGCTTGGTAGCTGATTCTCAGGCTCCCTCTCCGGAATCGGAAAATATCAATGGTCATTTTTTTAAACAATATACGGCTGATTGATCCTAAAGTTTAGCTAAAGTAAATATAGTTCAAAAAGACCAAAAAACACGCTTTTATAGCATACGAAACTAAAAAAAGAAAACTGAATATAGTTTGAAAAACTAAAAAACACGATTTTGAAGACCATAGAACTAAAAAGTTGAAAATCTTTTTCTAAAATAAGCTTAAAACAACACCGAAAGAAAAATACTAGTATCATTGTTAAAAAAGCGTGGGCGCTTTGTGCGCTCGTCGCTTGAAGTACCTTGAACGTACCTCCGCTGCAGTTCTTCCCTTTTTATGTATACTTGGCACTGGGAGTCTAATTTCAAGTGCCTCCTCTCACTCCCAATCACACCGACCCTTCTGCAATTGACGCAACTGAGTCTCCGATTACCCTCACACTTTTTTCCTTCATGTTGTCCTTCGCATTTGTTGCAAGCCGGTTCCTTCCTACACACTTTCGCTGTGTGCCTATAGTGATAACACTTGTAGCAAACAACCCCACCGTTATGCTGCTCCTCCACATGTTCCCCGTGAGGTCTGGGTCAAACATTCCCAGTTACATGAATCTCCGGAAGAGCACTGTATTCACTTTTAGAACTATCTTCTCCTTCCATGTATTCATTCCTTTTTCTCCATGCATTTCTTTCGTTATCTCCTTCTGTGAGATATTCTCACTCAATGCCGAGTTTTGCTTTAGCTGGGGTTGAATCAATTCCCGATCTCCATAGTCCTTCTCAACTCCAGTGAGAAGTACATATTGATTCGGAATTTGATCTTTCTTAACGTTCACCCTTCTCTCATCCCGTAGCACGTTCCTGTACATCTGTCGTCCCTTCTCTGTTTCATCTTTCAGCGCAAATTTTGGTGATGGCCTCCACCTAGCTCATACACCCCTTCGAAGTCGTTCGCTGACTATTCGTGCAGCAGGCGTCTCATCTCCCTGATCTGTTTTTACTATTATGATCTCTTCCTTCAGTGGCGGTGGTGTCTTCCAACCTGGCCTCGGTTTCCTCTTTCTCCATAGTTCGGTGGAGTATGTCATCTTGGTTCTACTTTTCCTTTTTTCTTTTCTACTCTCTGCCACCTGGAACTCCGTATCCGTCTCCATGTCTGTTTCAGTCTGTGTAGTTAATTCGATTGAACCTTCAGTATCCATTTCAGAGTTGCCAGAAGGTGTAGGGTTCACCTTGATGGGTTTGACCTGGGTTGGTTGCCCTTGCTTGGATTTTGCCTTCGATTTTTTGTATGTACCTCAATCTCTTCTAATGTCTATTTTATGGATAACCAATCCTCTCCTATCATTTCCTCTAATCGTATCGTTAGCGCTGCAGTACTCTCGCTCCTTCTCACATAAACTAACTCTTTTCTAAATCTCTTTCACTCTGTTAATCATTTTTTCTATCGATTCCATTGCTTCTTGAAGAATCAGATATTCATCTTTGGTGAAGAACATATCAAAAATTTTACCCTTTCCAAACCCACGGATGAATTTGTCACTTAGTGCATTATCTAATGATTTACAATGCGTTGCTGGACCGCGAAGACGAAACGCATACTCTTGCATAGTTTCCGACCCCAAATTTTTGGTTGCATGAAATGCAAAACGTTCTGCAAATACCGCACGAGTAAGTTTATAAAATGTTTCGAATAATTTCACAATGTCCTCAAACGAACTATTTTTCGGTTTTGCAGGTGGCGAGGTTTTCTAATGGCACGAATACATTTTTGGATAAACCGTTCAATAATATTGCACGTTTTCTCTCTTCATTATCGATTGAATTTGCCACGAAAAAAGACTGGATTGAACATCTGATTGCAACTTTTTTTATTGTTCTCAGAACTGAATTATATCAATTCTTCAATGATGAGCGCGCTTCATGTTAACCATTATCCTCGTCGCCAAGTGTTATGTACTTCACCATTTGTAACAATGATACACGGTTCTCATACATTCCATTTAATTTTGAAAATTCAACTGCACTCATATCTCCCAAGGTCCCGGCCAAGCGCATGTGAAAAGATATACACTTTTTATCTCAAACAGTTCGACTACAGTACACTTTTGATAGTTCTCTAAAGAAATGAACTTTAAATGTTCAAGCCAGTCTCGGATATACCTACACAGTAGGTTGAATATACTGAAGCCTATCAGAAAACAACTACTCCCCTGGCTAATACCAAGAACGGCGTTGAATTATATCCGACTGACTAATTAGAAAGTTTTTCTTCCTTGTTCAGAGGAATCGGGCAAATTTCGGATGTGCAGTTGGTTAGTACCTCGTACACTAGATGGAGTGAGGTTCGGTTGTTCGCTACAATTTAGGAAGAGGAATGAAATACTCTGATAAAATTTCGATTCTCAATTATGGAGTATCATTGACTTTAGGTCGATGATGGCCACTATCTTGCACTGATGAGTGACTAATGAGCCCAAAACCGATCTGCAATGTTTCCGTTCCAAAATTGAGGTTCGACTCTTTCAGTTGTATTGCCAATTTCATATGCAGGAAATTTCCTGTGAAGATTCCTGTAACACAG